GGAAGGAAGGAAGGAAGGAAGGAAGGAAGGAAGGAAGGAAGGAAGGAGAAAGGAAGGACCCAACTTGGAAGGCAGGCTCCCCTCCAGTCAGGGGCAGTCTCCGGCGCCTTAGTGGGGTACATTCTGAATCAAGATGCGGTCGCTCCCTCAAAGCGCCCCCATCTCCTAAGGAAGATGTTCTGGAGGAAGGGCTCAAGGAATGTCGCCTTTAATGATCAAACTTAGCCTCCTTTAGGAACATGGTGCTCCCTGCACACAGTAGGCACACATATCCCCGTTCCCCACAGGCTCTCAGGGAGCCGTGGAGACTACAGTCAGCAGAAGCGGCCCACACAGGACACCAGCCGCGAGTCAACTTACTCTCGAGTCCTTGGAACAGGGGCGCCTCACCGTGGCCCTGGCTCTGTAGCTCCTGGAAGAGCTGGAAGCAGGCTCTGGGGCTGGACAGCAGCAGCCGAAAGCCCTGCTGGGAAACTCGGGAGTCAGAAGGCTGCTTAGACCGGGAGGGGCGGTGACACTCTCTACCACCACCGTGTCCCCACACAGGGGGGAGAGCCGGCTTGGGAGCCCAGACAGAAGGGTTACACACCTGCCTGTCCGGTGCTGGGACAAAGCTCAAGAACTCATCCACGTGACCCACAAAGAGCCAATCAGAGAAGAGCCTCACGGGGGCCTGCACCTGCTGGGCGCCCAGGAAGTCCTGCAGGGCCTGGTGCATGTCCCGGCTCTTGTTGCTGCTCTCACAGGGATGAGAGGTTATGACAGCCATCAACATCATCATAAGACACAATGACTACCCACCAAGCGGCCTTGAGATCCGGCCTCAGAAGAGGAGGGAGCAGCGAGGGTCCCTGGACCCTGCTGTGAGCGAGACTCCAGCTCCTGCCTGCACCCCTTCCTGCTGTACGTGACTCTGGCCTAATGGTAGATTGTCATGTGTTCACGAGAGATGCTAGAGCAGTGGTTCTCAACCTGTGGGTCGTGACCCTCGCTGTGGTTGAATGACTTACAGAGGTGGCCTAAGACCATCGGAAAACACACACGTTTACATTGTGATTCATAACAGTAGCAAAATTATAGTTATGAAGTAGCAACAAAAATAATTTTACAGTGTGGGGGTCACCACGATCTGAGGAACTTTACTAAAGGGTCCCAGCATTAGGAAGGTTGAGAACCACTGTGTTAGAGTGTAGCCAGCATGGGAGGAAGGTTGGCTGAGGTGGGGAGGAGGAGGCCCCTGGATGTCGTGAGGGGGAGTCATCCACGTTGAGGCGAGACTTCAGGGATGCTTCACAGTCACCCACCACCGCCCTCACCCGTGCTCAGTGTAAGCCCAATGCACCCCAGGTTGGGCCTTGGAAGAATGATTGCTTTGGTCAGTTGTTGGGATCCTGTCTGGGAGAGCAGATGTGGGCGAGCCCACAGAGCCTGGGCTGCTGCCACTGTGGCACTGACATCTGTACTGCAGCTTCCTTGGAGAGAAACCGAGGCACAGCCACTGAGGAACATAGGGAGCATTGCCCGCTGACTCAGCCTAGATGCCAGTGTGACGGGGGAGCATGGGCTTCGGAGCCAGTTAGACCCACTCATTACCCTACTCCCAGCTCTGGCACATAGTAGATGCTCAGTAAACAGTCATCAGCTAAAGGCATGTAAGTGGCAGAGGCAGGCTCTGGAGGTCCCTTACCCTACCTGTGCTCCCTCTCAATGTCTGCTGCTTTCCTAGGTTTGGAGGCCCCTCTGTGGCTTCTGTCACTGTCCCCAACCCCAGCACCTGGGTCCTGGCCACCCCATGTTCTCCTTACCTGGAGTAGCCACTGCTCCCGATGAGAATCCTGCCCAGCGGGTACTCCTTCCCCCCTACGGTGACGGGGGGACTCACCTCCAGGTTCCCAAAGGCATCCAGCCCAGTGACCTCTGTTGTGAAGGGCCCTCGGGTCACGTAGCCAAAATTTGGGCCCTGAGACGGGAGAAGGATACACTGAGAGTTAGAGACTACTGTCCCCGGGTAGAAATGGTGGCTGCAGGTTTAGTGATGATTTAGTCACTAGAAGGAGTCCTGTGGCTACCAGGGAGGAACCTTATGATCTCGCAGTGAAGGGATGTTGGCTTGGGTCAGTGTCACCTGCTTGGAAAACTCATGCACAGAACAGCAGGATTTCAAAGCATTCTCTGCGCTTTCTTTACAGGCTGGGGACAGGCGATGGGTGGAGATGGGGGCTCCTTCAGCCAGTGTGAGGAGGTGACAGGGGTCCAAGCCATCCCGGTGGCCCGCAAGGTGCTTCACATGGTGTCCCCATCCCAAGCCTGGCCTAGAATGGGTTTTACAGTGTGACATCCTCATGGGAGCCTTCACCAGAGGACACACCTGTCACCCCCTGGGTGAGCTCTGTTGGTGCTATGACAAAGCACCACCTAGTGGCTGAAGGCAACACCGGTTTTATCCTCCCGACGCTCCAAAGTTCTGAGTCACTTGTCACAAGCTGTCACTTGTCAAAGTGCGGCCTCAGGAAGAGCCTCAAGAGAAGACACCCTGTGCTGGGTGCCACTGCCTGCCAGTGGCCTTGTGCTCCCTCCTCATCACCGTGGTCCTTCTCTTGCTGTGGGGGAAGGGCAGCTGCTGTCCCCCTTGTTTCCTGGTGTCGGCAGCTGGCTATGTGGCCTTACCATTCCACGAAATGCCATCTGTAAGCTGGGCCCATCACCGACATCACACCTCCACCAGACACAGGACACCAGCTGCCAGGTGTCCAGCCGGTGCCTACCTGTCTTCCCATGTGTCCTACCTGGAGAGCCATTGGATCCTTCCCTCATCAACCTGCCGCCTTCCCATGGGCCTCTCTCTCCAGGGCGCAGCCTCAAGGCCAGCCACCTTTGCCTTGTCTCACTCACAATGGCCAGAGAAGCCTGCTGGCCTGGTCTTGGAGAGCTGCCCGGAGTCTGACCACTTCCCACGGGGCGAGCCACTGCCTCCTCCTCAGTCCTGGTTCCTTCCCACTCTGTCCTGCCCCTGGATCTAATCTCATACCATTAGGGAGGGTACATGCTCCCTAACTTAGGACTTAAAGAATCCCCCACTTCTCAGATTCTAAACTGATGTGGCCCCACAGAGGTCAGTATCTCGGTGACTTTGCTGTCCATAGCACTGAGCTAGCTTTAACAGCAGCGTTTTGCTTTAATTCTATTTCTTTAAAAAATTTATTTACACATCCATTATTTTTGTGTGTGTGCCTGCATGAGTTCATATGAACCACATGTGTACTGGAGTCCACAAAGGCCAGAAAAGGGCATCATCTCTCCTGGAGCTGGAGTTACAGGCATCACTAAACCTGGGTCCTCCGCAAGAGCAGCAAATATTCTCTTAAGATGGAGAGAGGCCCAGGTGCGATGGTGCACGCCTTTAATCCCAGCACTCAGGAAGCAAAGGCAGGTGGATTTCTGCTACATAAATCCAGGCTAGCCTGGTCTACATAAGCCAGTTCCAGGCTAGCCAGGGCTACATAGCAAGACACAGTCTCAAAACAAAACAAAACAACAACAACAACAAAAAATGAAAGAAAAAAAAGCAAGCAAGTAAGAAAGAGAAACAATCAAGACAGACACTTCTCCAGTCCTCTAGTCCCATTTTTTCTTTTTTTCTAAAGACAAGGTTTTTCTAAGCTGGGTATTGTGGCTCACACCTGTAATCCCAGCACTCAGGGAGGCAGAGGCAGTCGGATCTCCGTGAGTTCGAGGCCAGACTGGTCTACCAAGTGAGTCCAGGGCAGCCAAGGCTACACAGAGAAACCTCAACTCAAAAAACAAAACCCAACACAAACAAGACAAGGTTTTCTACACAATCCGGAACAGCCTCAGATTCTGCCTCCCCAGCACTGACCTTCCAGACGCACCATGCCCGGTGATGAGAGATTCCCTAACATTGAAAGGTCACAGGCTGCCCATAGGCAGCACTAGCAGGGCAGCTGCCCACCCTGGCCGGGCAGAGGAGAAGTAACCAAATGCATTGGAGATAATGCAGCAGTGCACTCTGGGAGAAACGAGCAGGCAGGACCCAGCATGCACGGCTCCTTAGTTTTTGTCAGCTTGACACAAGGTCATCTGGAGAGAAGGAACCTCCGCTGAGACTATACCTCCATTAGCTTGGCCTGTGGGCAAGTCTGTGGGGCTCTTGCTTAATGATCAATACGGAAAGGACCAGCCCACCATAGGCAATGCCAGCCCCTGGGTGTTAGCAGGAGGCAGGCTGAGCAAGCTATGGAGAGCAAGTCAGTGAGCAGCGTTTCTCCATGGCCTCTTTGTCAGCTCCTGCCTCGACTTCTCTCAGTGACCTGTGACTGTGGCATGAGCGTGGAAACCTAGTAAATCCTGTTCTCCCCAACTTGCCTTTGGTCGGAACATTTTATCAGCGACAGAGAAGCAAAAGGTGACCCTGGCATGGGCCCCTGACAGCATCAGGAGGGCCTGGCTGGGTAGGCCCCTGACACTGAGACCTGAAGGCTGAGAGGCAGTTGGCACATTCCCAGCAGAGGGAATGGCATATGGCATATGCTAAGGCCCCGAGGTCAGGGAGCAATGGGACAATTTGAAAGACTGGATGAAGCCCGATGGGCTGGAGGCAGGCAAGGGAGACTGGCCCATGAGGACACCAGTGAGAAGCAGGGTGACAGTTTCCGTTACTCTGGTTCTTTCATGAGCAAGGGTCAGGTGAAGGCGTTTTAAGAGTACCCAGCCAGGGGCCTGCTGCAGCTTTCCTCCACCCAAGGTGGGATGAGGCAGAGAAGAATCTCATGCTCAGAGTCCCACTGTGTCACTGGGTGCTGGGGATCTGGCTTGTAACCCGGAAGCTGACCTTTGGAATATCTAAGTGGTAAGATGCAGCCACTGCAGGTAGGAAGGGAAGCCGGGTGGGAGGATGGGGGCGGGGACAAAGTCCCAGCTGATCAGTTGATGCTCCCACCTCCAAAGCCATTAGCCAACACAGAGAGCCAGGCTACGCCAGGGCTGCAGGCAAAGGGCGTGGCCAGGAAGAAGCAAAAGGAACTGTTGTTGAGACAGACATTTCCTTCCAGCCTCTGGCATGGGGCAGGCTGTTGCCTCTCTCCTCAGAGTGCAAACTACTCATGGCTGCAAGCCTTGTCCCTCCTTTGTCTGAAGGTCCCAGGTCCCAGTGCAGGTCTTCCTGGGAGGACAGGGAGGCAGGCTGGGAGACCTGCTGTTTTCACTCTGAGCCTCAGTTTCTACCTCTGTGAAATAGACCCATTGCTGAGTCAGTGCCTGTGGAGAAGTATCCTTTGGCTGAAGGCACATGGGCTCAGTAAACGTACTATTATTATTTTTAATTTATGATGATGATGATCTAGGTTGAGTTGGCATCCATCAGCCATACTGGTGTGACTCATCAATCAGTCCCTTCCCACTCCTGAATGTGTTGGCCGTGACTGATAAAGGTCTGGCTGATCCTGAAGCCCCACCACAGCCCCGGCGTAGCTCCCAAAGGACCAACCATACCCAAGAGATGGAACTCCCACCTGCGGCAAGGGCACTCTTGGGTAGCCCAGGATGCCCCTTGAGAGGTTATTTCAAAGACCAGCTGAGCTCATGTGTGGTGAGACTGAGAACCCAGATCTTATCAGGGAAATAGCTGAAATAGCCCATATCACCCATTGGGTTCTGATGGAGCAGGAACTCAGCTTTGGGGTAAGGGGTGGCCTGAGGAGCAATGGATTGAGGAGGCAGGAGCCTCACGGCCAAGGGTGGATGGCTGGGTTTCGGCCAGGCCTACAGGCTTCCTACCATGACTCGTTTGACCGGGAAGTCCTTTAGGCCTCTGTCCCTCGGGGAGTCAAAGACCACGGGCAGCGTCTTGTGGGGAGCCTGGATGTAGCCGATCTCCATTTCATCCTGGAAGGGAGCAGAGCAGCTGTGGCTTGGGCCGCCAGTCTTGGCCCCCAGTGCTCGATATGGCGTGGATCTTCCCCACCTGCTGACCATGCCCTCTAGAACAAATTCTGCGGGAAACTTGAGGCCAGAGAATGGCCCCGAGGATGCAGGCAGATCTGTGTCCTGCACAGCCTGCTAGGAAAATGAATCCTGACTCTGGGATGAGGTGTCCTTGTCCTTGAGGACAGGGAACATCCAGGGTTGGGGTGACTGAAGGTGCTGGGGGGATGCCGGGGGACCCAGAGGGCTCCCAACATGGCTGGGGTAGGCAGGGGCTTCAGTGGGAAGGCTGCTGACTGATTCCAGGTGAGCGTACCCTCCCGGGTCTCACCAGAGCAGGCAGGTAGCATACCCAGCCCTGTAGGTGGAAACACCGGTCTTCAGAGATGAACCTGGCGACGACCTTGCCCCCCCCCCCCCCCCAGGCAGCTGTGCAGGTTGGGGTGGGGACAGACAGAGTCACTCCAGCAAGTTACAGGATGGAAAACCCTGGTCATTTCCTGGTGAAAGATGGGGGCCTGTCTGCAGCTTCCCAGGGTTCAGCCTCCATCACAGAGGATGGCAAGGGTTGGACTCAGCAGACAGGAAGATAGATATGCTTCTACACGAAGGGATGGCATGCCTGGACAGGCACAGAGATGGGGGTGAGGAGGAGCGTGGTGGCTCACAGTCTATGTCAGACCAACTCTCAACCTGAGCTCCCCGCTGTAAGGGGCTTCTGTTTTCCCACTCCATCCCAGGAAGGGGCGTACCCCAGGAGCCCAAGGCTCCAAGGAGTCCTTCAGGCTCAGGTGGACAGGGCCACATACCTGCATCCACTGGTCTTCCAAATTCTCCTCCTCCGGGCACACAGTCAGCTTGCACTTGGCTTTCTTGGTCAGAACAGTCAATGACTTTAGGAAGTCTTCGTTTTCAGAAAACCTGCAAAGATTAATCCTCATTACCACAGAGGCGTGACAGCTCTAACGACAATCTGTCCCTCTTTCCAGCGACCTGAGCAAATGGTGGCTTCCGGCGGCTCAGGACAGGAAGTATGTTTTCCCATCCCCAGCCAAGGCAGCACCCAGCATTCAGGGGGTCCCCAGACTCCCCCACCCCCGAGCTGGAGCTTTACCTGCACACGTATACCTCCTGGGGGGGCTGAGTGTTGGGAGTCATGATCCAGGGGGCCACACGGAAAGTCACGCTGTCCTGGAATACCAGGGTCTCAGGGAGCTCCTGGAGGGGAGGGATGAGGAAGGTCATCGGGTCACGTACCTGCTTTCTCCCCACCCCCAGCCCAGGCTGAGTCCTTACCGGGTTAGATGTGTCCAGCAGGGAGACAGTGAGGGGAACAAGCCCCTGGAAGTCGGCGTCAGGGAAAGCAAGCCCCTCCACGTAGAAGTCTGTGCTGTGCTGGCCACCGGGGAGCTCCAGGTGGTGTGAGAACTGCTGTGGCCCCAGGACCACCTTAAACCTGGATGGCAGCCTGCCCCCTGCAAAGAGGCAGAATGTGTCAGGCCTGGCATGCCAACACGTTGGCGGCTCTGATTTCCTCTCCTCCATACCGAGGTGCCTTCCTGCAGGGGCACAGCACGTCAGTACCCAAGGACCCTTGCAAATGTTTGGGGGGAGACACCAAAGCTCCATTCGGGATCTTGTTTCCCTGATGAGGGGGATCCAGGAAGGGCAATGGCAGGTGTCAGCCCCATTCCAAACTTTGCACTATTCATTTATTCACCCGTTTGCATGTACATTCATTTATTCCCCAAGCACGCTTCACTGTCTCCTGGTTCACTAGGGAGGAGCAAAGGCCATCCTATATAACAGACACCAATTAAAGCAGTGGTAGAGGGAAGTGGGAGGGCTTCCGGTGGGTAACAACGCCTGATGGGGGGGCAAAGGTGGTCATCAGTTTGATTTTGTTAGTCTAGGAAGGAAGGGAGTGGGAACAAGCTGAGCCTTGACAAGCCTCTGCCTGGAGAGCAGAGACGAGAGCATGTGCCCCCCCCCCCCTTGGGCCTCCACTCACCGATTTAAACCTTGCAGACCTTACAATGGCCTCTCTGCCTCCCAACCCCAACCCCAGTCCTTAAACCCACAGGTGCCAACCCACCTCAGGGCCTTTGCATCTGCTGCCCCCTCTGTCCGGGATGCCCTTCCTCAGAGTATGTCTCTCTCTGACCTCCCCCTCTCTCTGCCCCCAGCTCCCCTTCCCACACTGCTGCTCCTAATTATTCACCTGTCACCCGTCCTATCCCACTAGGATGAAAGTGACATGGGGCAAAGACCCAGGCATGTTCATGTCCTGCGCTCAGAACTGAGGCTCACACTGCCTGGAGAGCAGGTGTGAGGAGCTGCCAGGCCACTGATGTCTGAGAAGCAGTGATCCCAGCAAGCGGGGTCACGGGCACGTGGGGGGGGGGGGGGAGGGAAAGGGGGAGGGGGGGGAAGGGGGGGGGGGGGGGGGGGGAAGAGAGAAAGGGAGAGAGGGAGAAAAAGGGGGAGCGAGAGAGAAGGAAAGAGGGAGAAAGCATGTGTGCTAGGAAGCAGAAAAGCGAAGTAAAAAGAAGAGCGTGAGAGAAAAGAAAAGAGAGGAGAGGGAGAGAAAAGAGAAGAGGGAGAAGAGCTGGGCCCTCTCGGGAAGAAGTCACTCCCCTGTCCCCAGCCGCGGCAAGGCCTTTCTTCAAGTCACCTCATCTGGAAGGCAGGGGACAGAGGCATGTGCCTACCTCCCAGCCCCGGGCCTGGTGCTCAGAACCACGCATGCGCGGCTGCACTGGACCTGCTTGCTGAAGGGTTTGCCCGACAGGGGGCGCCCCATCTAACGGAGCGGGAAAGGGGCACGGAAGGCTAGGCCGACTCACGTGTGACCTGGAACACTCGCACTTTGTTCATCTTGGCCTTGGCCACGTGCAGCACCAGCTGATAATTGGCAAAGAAGTCCTTGGGAGTCTTGGTGCTTAGGGTCATTAGAGACATGTCCTTCAGGTCTGAAACAAGAAGCGAGTGGCCATGCTTGTCCCCAGGGCCCGTCTCCCTTCAGCCTCCTCCTGGTGGAGCCCACACTCTCCCACGCCCCGCCTCAAAGGAACCTGGCTTTCTTTTCTTTGTTAAAAATGGTGCCCTGTGGCTTATTTTAAAACTCTTTTGTTGCTCTTACTTTCTGTTGTTGCTCGTTTTGCAGCCCTGGGGAAAGAGTCTTGGGTACGCAAGGCAAGAGCTCTGCCGCTCAGCCTCAGCCTCAGCCCCAGCCTCAGCTCACACTTATTTATCGTGTGGTCGCACATGGGAGAGATTGGCTGATCTACATGTGTGGAGGTCAGAGGACCATTTGCGGCAGCCAGGAATCAAATTCAGGTTATCAGGTTTGGTAGCAGGTGGCTCTACTCACTGAGCCACCTCTTGAGCCCCCGGCTTCGTTCCCTTCAGCATATATATGATGCTTGTCCATGGATGGCTGCAAAAGGGTGAGCTAAGGAGAGAAACTCAGAGCAGCAGGGCTTATGTCTATTTGGTTTCTTGCTGTGACCCCAACACTCAAGTTCTAGAGCACAGAGAGCACCCAGAACAGCGGTACAGGGCGATGGTCAGCACAGGCCACTGAGCTGGGGTGATGGGGAAACGCCAAGCGGTCACTGCTGACACCCGGACCACAGTGAAGGAGGCAGGGACATGGATCTGGGTGAGCTTGGGGAAATTCTTCAGCTCTGAGGGCCTCAGTTTCCCCATCAATACACAGGGGCAGAGAGAGTGCCAAAGGGTGGGGAGTGTGAAGACAGTGGCATATCTAAAGCTATTATCATCCGGAGTGCCCACAGGTCATGACGGATGAGCATCCTTTAGGGAGGTCCCTGGGGCCAGCCCTGGCCAGCTGCACATATCAGACACAAAGCCATTCCTATGCAGCCCCATGACCCCGTGGGCCCCTTGTCTGAGCCAAGCATAGGTGTGAGGGCTGGGCAGGGGCCAGATGGAAAGCAGAGCCTCTTGGGGCCCGGGGAGGCCCGGCTGGTCTCTTCTGAATGCTGTGTTAGTTTGGCAGGTCACTTGCCCTCTTGGGACACTTTTCCATTCCTTCCCCTGTAACATGGACATGCTAACACAAGCATGTTCTCACTAAACCGAAATCCAGAGGCTACAAGACCACGTGGGAAAATGAGCCTTGCTGAAGAGCAAAGGCCTTGTCCTTGGAGGCGGCCATGGTCTTTGGTCTCTTACCTTTGTTGTCTAAGACCTTGTCATCCTCGAAGTCCATTCTGGAAGACTTGGGGTTCTCTTTGTCACAGTTTACCAACAAAATGGCGCCGTGGCCACCTGGGCCCCAGGTCCAGGTGCTCTGGGAACATCAGGAGGACAAAAGAAACTGTCAGATCCCATCAGCCCTTGGGAGACTCGTGGCTGGTTTTTTCTTGCCTCCCACTTGTCTAATTTCTCTCATCCAGCAATTCACAGGCCCAGAGAGTAGATTTTTTTTTAAAGATTTATTTATTATGTATACAATGTTCTGTCTGCGTGTATACCTGCGCACTGGCAGAGGGCACCAGGTCTCATTATACATGGTTATGAGCCACCATGTAGTTACTGGGAATTGAACTCAGGACCTTTAGGAAGAATAGCCAGTGCTCTTAAGCTCTGAGCCATCTCTACAGCCCCCAGAGAGTGGATTTTTGATGGCTCCAAATATAACCAAATCTGCCCCAAGTGCAGAATGTGGCTCATCTGTGTTTGTTTAAGACAGCATCTGCTTTAGCCAAGGCTAGTTTCAACTCCTAATCCTCCTGCCTCTACCTCAGGGAACTGAGATTACAGGCGGGTTTCCCCCACATCCAGTGTGTGTGGTGCCGGGATATCAAACCCCGGATTTCACCCATGCTAGGCAAGTACCCTACCTACTGAGCTACATCCCCCGCCTCAAGTCATCCACTTTTTTTTTTTTTTTCCAAATAAAGGAGCCGGTAGTAGAATCCACTTCAAAAGCCTTTAAAACATGTTGGCTTGGCAAAAACATGGAGTCAAGTACGTAAGAGTGTCAAGACTTTGATCCACACAGCCCCTCTCACGTGACCACACAGTCATCCCTTCCCGATGTGGGTGCCAGGCACCGTCTGCTCAATAACGTCCAGATAATGCTGGGAGCCCCCCCCCCCCATAGAAATCTAATATAATGTGATAGATCGCACAATAGCAGGATAACTGCAGTGCTAGGCAATCTGTCTAGGCCACACTCTTCCCCCTTTCCCTACTTGTTTTTGTTTTTTCGAGACACTGGGTAATTCTAGAGATTCCAGCTTGTAGGCTAACGCCATTTCTCAACGCTCAATTGGTTGTAAACAGGCCGAAAGGTCAACAGTGATTTGCATTTTCCTGGTAAAGGTAAACAAGAGACACTGTCGAGGTGCCGCGGTTCCGCTCGTCACCGCAAGGGGGCGCCGCAGGAACGCGCCTTGGCCTTAAGGCGCGCATTGGCTGCCGTTTGAGCCTCACCTGATCCTGCCCAGCTTTTTTGGGCTTCGCTCTGCCCGTGCGGGTGACGTCTGCGCTCAGGGAGACTTCTGCAATACAAGAGAGAGGAGCGAGCTGGGCAGGGGGAGCCTCTCCACTCCTCCGGGTAGGCGGAGACGGCCATTCTTTTCTCCCCAAGAAGCCACACTTAAGAGTTCAGAGAGCAGAGCCAGGATTTCCAACCACTGCGCCCTCCGGGGGCCATGACTGTGCCGGCAAAGCAATTCCTAGCGACCCCAGGCTCACCTGCCAAGCTCTCCAAGAACTCTGCCCCCAGCCTCAACCCTCAGCCAGCCCTGAGCAGGGGCCACCGGTTTTACCATCATCACCCGTTCTTCGTTACACGTGTGTGACTGTGTCAGGGAAAAAGCCCACAGCCAGGGTACAAGTGTGTCTGAATTCTTTCCCCCTTTTCAGAACGTGTGACCGCAGTCGCTTCAATAATGGAGCCCCACGTGCCCCACAGTGTGACACAGGGACCCGTGTCCCTCGAGAGGGACAATATGACCGTTTGCTCTTGTGCCATAGTAGATACACCAATATGTGTGAGCGTAGGGAGACAGCATCAGAGCCCCCACCTCTGCGTAGCTCCTTGAGCAAATCTGTTTGTCTCTTGAGCCTCAGTTTCCCGATCTGTGGAATGGGGTCATGGGGCCAGGCTCACTGGATTATTGTCGGAACTAAATGCCACACCTCAGCCTGGCCCTGAGTAAGCCCTGTTGCATTGAGATGTATACTCATGAATGAAATCCACCAAGGAAAGGAAACCCCGGGGGTTTCACGCGTTAGTTATAGATTTAATACCACTTAAACAAAAAGAGTATGCTGTTTAGGTTGAGATCTCACTAAAAGCCGATTTAATGTTTAAAAACTTAGATACAGGGTCTCACTCTGTTGTTCAGGCTAGCCTCAAGCTCGTGAACACTTTGATCTTAAGAATGGATTGTTTAAAATGACTTATTTGTTTTTATTTTATGTGCACTGGTGTTTCGCCTGCACACATGTATGTCTGTGTGAGGGCGTCGGACGCTCTGGAGCTGGAGTTGCAGGCTGTTCTGAACCTCTGTGGAGGTGCTGGGAAGTGAACCCGGGTCTTCTGGAAGAGCAGCCAGTGCTCTTAACCGCTGAGCCATCTCCAGCCCCAAGAATGGATCTAGTCGTGTTATACCCTGCTGAGGTGGGGTGTGCTGTGTGGAGGGAGAAAGCGGCTCTTTGGCTCCTCCCTCCCTTCCTCTCTCTCTCTCTGAGACGGTATCTAGCTACTTAGCCCTGGCTGGCCTTGTACTCACAGGGATCTGCCGGCCCTGCCTGCCAGCGTTGGGATAAAGGAGTGTGCAGCTGGCAGCATTTTGGGACCCTGGTCACCACTTACCCACCCCGGTGAGGTAGAGCAGGGCTTGGGTCGGTGAGGTCTTGGGTCCATAATATGAAATTCGAACCTATAAGACAAAGCAAAAGCATTCATGACCTCTCTTAGTCATTCAACAAACACAGTCTGAGCCCTGCTGTGAGCCGGCTCAATCCGGCTCAACTCGACTATGATGCTATAGAAAAGGGTCCAAAGGGAGCCCAGAAATGTTGGGACCCAAATGGCCTGAGAGCAGAGGTAAGGGCAGATTTCACGAGGAGGTGTTTATTGGCTGGTTTTATGTCAACCTGACACAAACTAGAGTCACCGGAAAGGAGGGAACCGAAATCAAGGAAATGCCTCCATAAGGTCCAGCTTTACAACATTTTCTTAATTAGTGATTGATGGGGAGGGCCCAGTCCATTGTGAACGGAGCCATCCCTGGGCTGAGCGTCCTGGGTTCTATAAGAAAGCAGGCTGAGCAAGCCATGGGGAGCAAGCCAGTAAGCAGCACCCTCCATGGCCTCTGCCTCAGCTCTGGCCTTCAGGCTCCTACCCTGTTTGAGCTCCTGCCCCAACTTCCTTCAGTGATGGGCTACCATGTGGCAGTGGAAGCAGAATAAACTTTTTCCGCCCCAACTTGCTTTGGCTCATGGTGCTTCATCACAGCAACAGGAACCCAAACTAAGACAAAGGGTATTCTGAGACGTTCCTGGGAGGGGAGCAGGGGCTCAGCAGCTTCCAGGGGTGCAAGAGGCATTAGAAAGAGCAGGTGATAGCCATGGAACTGGACTTGTGCGACAGAAGGCCAGCCTTCAGGTTGTCTCTAGGTGTAGGCTAGGTGTAGCAACCACACCAGGAGGCTGGGGGAGGGGGTTAGGGGTGGGAGGATGGGGAGTAGGCTGCACCTCAGCAGGGAAGGGCTCATCCCAGTCCCTCAGCCCAGCAAACCTCGAACCCAGAGAGAGGTGTGTGATTGGCCCGGCTGCCAGTGGGCTGGCCATTGGGAGTGAGAAGCCTGAGTGACATGAGCTAGGGACACCAGAAGCAACTAAAGACCTACAAGGGAAGACAGCTGGGGTGACAGACACACTGAGGGCACACCCTGAAAGGGCACACTGAGGGTTCACTCTAAGGAGCCCCTGGATGGGGCACACTGAGGTATTGGCTCCTGTTCTATAGGCAGTGGTTATCCTGGAAAAAATCGACAGCGCTGTGGCCTCCCCTCCGGACCCTGCTGTCCATTTCTGTCTGGGCTCCCAGCCTTCAGGCTGCTCCCTGGGTGCAGGCTTCTTGGGTTGCACCAGCCAGTAGCATCTTTGTGTGGAAGTTTTTCACTGGCTACCTGTTGCCTCCAGAAAACAAGGTCTCTACCCTCGTATGGTGGCACACGTCTTTTTCTTTTTTTGGTTTTTCAAGACAAGGGTTTCTCTGTGTAGCCCTGGCTCTCCTGGAACTAGCTCTGTAGACCAGGCTGGCCTCTAACCCAGAGATCCACCTTCCTCTGCCTTCTGAGTGCTGGGACTAAAGGTGTGTGTGACCAACCGATCACCAGTGATACAAGCCTTAATCCTAGCACTGGAGAAGCTGAGGCAGGAGGATTGAGAGCTGGGTTGTCTCAAAACATAGGAGAAGTAGAGACAAGGGTGGGGGGAAGAAAAGAGAAGAGAAAGGAAGAAAGGGAGGGAGGAAGACAAGGCAGGTTGCACACAGCCTCTGAGCTGGCTCCCTGGCTCCCTCACCCCTCCCTCCACCTTTGTCTTAGCAGGCTTCTTCAGTGTCCCCAGCCTGTGTCTTGCTTCCATCTCCTCATCCAGGGTGAGCCCAGGAGCCATCTAGCTCTCTCCCAGGCCAGCCTGTGGCTCCCACCTTCAACCTGCCCCTTCTTTCAGGACGTATTCCCTGACTTCAGCTGCCACATACCCTAGCTCTGTGTACCCAGGGTGGTGACAGAGCTTGGCCTCTGGGTTTACCCCTCCAGGGAGCAAGATGTCTGTGGGAACCCTGGAGTGTCTTGGGTGGGGAGCTACCTACTGGTCCCATTCCCACTCCTGGAACTTGTGAACCAGACACCGGGAACAAAGTCTCTAAGGCTATGCATTAAGGGTGACCCTGGGATTCAGTCCGGTGGCACACAGAAGGTCAGGCAATGCTGTCACCCTCACTAGGAGAGACCGAGAGTGATCCTCAAGGGGAGTCACATAGAGTCACACCTGCTCACACCTTTGTCTTATAGATCTACAAGTGGGCGATTTGTCCGGTGGCGATTTGCTGCAGCTGCCACCAGACAGACGGACAGATGCTAACACCAGGACATGAAGAGCCCTCACAGTGACTCCCTGCCTGTGGCCTTCAGAGTGCTCATGGCCACAGTTAACTGTTTGTTTACCTGTATGTTACCTGATGCCCCCAAGAGCTGTGGCCGCCCCCCCCCCCATGCCTTGCTCATTTCTGTATGGAGCTGGTGTTTATTAAACAGTTGCTTCGAGGGTGAACTTGATCAAGACCTTTATAAGGCCCTGCAAGCTTCAGTGGAAACCTGGCTACTTTTAGAATTCCCTGGGAGACCCGCCTCAGGGCATACGTTTGAGGGCATTTCTAGAGAGGTTTAACTGCAGGGGGAGTCCTACTCTGGATGTGGGTGGCGCTGTCTGGTGGGCTCTGTTGAGACTGAACAGAAGGGGAGAAAGAGAAAGCGAACAGAGCAACAGTATCCATCTCTCTCTGGTGGGTGCCATGTGACCAGCGCCTCTTGTTCCTGCCACCACGCCTTCCCACGCCATGATGGACTGTGCACCCTCAAACAGCAAGCCAGAATAAGTCCTGCCTTCCTTAAGCTGTTTTTTTGTTGTTGTTGTTGTTGTTGTTTTGGTTTTGTTTTGTATCAGATATGTGATCCCAGTGAAAAGGAGAAGAATGACAACAATGTGCCATCTGTGGGTATGCTGTGGAGGGAGGAATCACCATGAGCTTGCCTAAGGGAGAGAGACTCTCCCGGGGTGGGCCCTGGGCACGGAAGCAAGCAGACTGCCTATAGCCACCGAGGGGCTGGCATCTCCCACTGAAAGAATCAGACTAACTTTGTAACCTATGTTTCTTTTAATTGCCTTATAACTTATATTTGCAAGTTTTAGGCCCATGTTAATTAAAGCCTCTTAGTGCTTCTCCAGAGAGCCGAGGAATGTAAAAGTTCCTGACATTAGCCATCTGTGAGGGCAGAGATAAGGAAGAGAATAAGCAGAGATCTCTACTAAATGGAGAGAAAATCACCGGCTAGCGCCGGTGAGATGGGCTTTGTTTGGAAACTGGGCCAAATGGCCCCAATCCTTCTCCTGACCTTTGATCTGAAGCCTGTAACCCCCACTCCTCAGAACAGACATGGGATGAGTTAATCACCCTCCCACCTTTAACTGTGGATGGCAGGAAATTCCAAACTGACTTGAAGATCAGATATTTACGACAGGGCTGACTGGACCTAAGGGTGACCAGATCTAACCAATTATTTTAAAAGTTAAACACCTCATCCAATCCTAAATCGCCAAGAAGGCAACCCCAGGAGATTCCCGCCTTGTGTCTTTTAAAAACCTAAGGTCTTTGTCTCCCGGTGCCACTCCTAGCTGACCAGCAGGGGTGACCCCATTGCGCAATGGTCAAGAGGAGCCTCTTGCATTTTTGCATCGATGGATAATTAGTTTCCTGAGTTCTCTTCATACCTTCTTATATTTAGGCTTATGCTGGGCCTAACACCACCCTCGTCCCCACCCCCACCCCCACCCCAGCCACCACACTCACTTTCTGGTCGTCTGTGCTGTCGCTGGCTGCCTTCACCTGTAGGGTCACCTCCAGCTTGGGGTCCAGAGGCCATTTGGCGGCACCGGCGGTACTCCTCTTGGCTGGAGGACTGTGGTTGACATCTATGACTACCCCTGGGGAGGCGGTGATGCCAAAGGATGTGCAGCCCGGAGGAGCAGAGCTGTGGAGTGACAGAGGGCGTTGGCACCAGCGGTGAGAAGGCCTACCAAGGAAGGCCTCAGCAATCCTCTTCCCAGCAGGCTGCTGGGCTTGTTCAGGGCCAGAGAGGAGAGACGGTGTGATTGCCAGGAGGGAGAGAGAAGACAGAAGGGGAGTCCTCTGACTGGAGGCCTTAAGCTTGAACTGGAGAGACAGAAGAGGGAGGTGCTATGTCAAAAACACCTACTATTCACCCAGAGAGCAGTGTGCACGCAGGAACCATGAGGAGTGGGCACACCCAGGGCTGTGTGCATATAAAGAAATCACAGACACACACACACACACACACACACACACACACACACACACAGGGGACAGAAAAGATGGCTCAAAATGTGACCCCCCCAAACAAAAACTCTACAAAAATAAATGACCAAACCCCAAAAACACAGATTTCTGGAGTTGTGGCTAAGGAATAATAATAATAATTATTATTATTATTATTGTTACATATATATATATTTTTTATTATTTTTTTTTTTTTTTTTTTTTTTTTTTTTTTTCGAGACAAGGTTTCTCTATGTAGCCCAATCTGGCCTCAGACTTACAGAGATCCACCTGTCTACCTCCCAGGTGCTGGGGTTAAAAGATGAGGCACCATGCTCAGAGGCAGAGCAGATATTCTTGAGGCTCATCCTCTTACGAAGAACTTGATCAGGGGTTAGATACACTTTAAAAAGCAGCATGGATTTGAGAGGGAGCAGTGAGGGACAGGAGTGAAGTTGGAGGCTGGCGGGAAGAAATGATGTTGGCACAGAACTCATGTAGGAGACTCTCCAAATAAAAATTTTAAACGTTGTTGGGAGCCAGGCTGGCCCAAGGCTTTTGCAGAGGTCCAGATGTAAGGACAGTGGGAATTTTTTGTTCTTTGTCCTTGTCCAGGCTTGGCATGAAGGTCCGTCTAGGGCTGGGGCCAGGGCCTTGAGGGAATTAAAGTTTCAGTTTGTAAGCTGGGTGCTGGGAATTGAACCTGGGTCCTTTGGAAGAGCACAAAACGAGTCAAGGACAGCCAAGACTACACAGAGAAATCCTGTCTCAAAAACAAACAAACAAACAAAAGGTTTCAATTTGTGGGAGCCTGATTCTTTCCCCTGAAGAGGCTGGAGTTATCGGTCCCAGGCTTTGGTGCTTGGTATGTGAAGCACTGGAGATGCTCTGTTCCCTTCGTGCAGCATCTGCCTCTGCCCCTGCCTCCTCTGCCTCCCTGAGTGCTGGGATTACAGGCTTGCACCACTGCTCCGGCAATGTCTTACTTCTAAATAAACTTGCTTGGCATAAGCCAGCAATTTCGGCAGGATCTTCTGGTCTCAACTTTCCTATCTTCTTCATTTTCTCATCTCCAGTCCTCCCCCTCGGGACTCTGTGGCATCAGTCGGAGGGCACTGATGGATGTGGGAGGGTTGTCTTTAAGGACACACCTCTCTATACTTCTCTTCGAGACCTGCTATAACCAAGATTCAGTCCTTCATGCAGGGGCAGTTGTGCCTGCCTCTCCTGGAAACTGGGGAAGACAAGTTCCCAGGCCAGCTCCCCAGACTTGGGGTTGGAACCCAGCGGTCTGAGCTTCCTCGTGTCTCGAGGGTGCCCTGTGCACCCAGGGCATGAGAACCACACCCAGGAAGCTTCTGATAGGAGTTGCTGAGTTACCCCACCCAGCGGAAGCAGAGGGACCAGAACCCAGGCCCAACATGGCAAAGATGAAGCTGGTGACTGAGAAACCCTGTGTCTAAATTTTATTTTATTATGATTATTTTTTCTGAGGCAAGTGGAATTGTTTCCTCTCAAAGTCAACAGCACCTGCTGGGCCGGGTGGCATGGGGCAGGGAAGAGCAATGCCCCCGGTTGCTCTGGGGCCATGAAGCTGGGAGGTGGGGGTGGGGAGCAGTTGCAGGCTTGGTCAGCGGTAGGCAAGGACCCAGCACACAGGTGATGGGGAGTGACAGTAACAGTGAGGCCAGTGGAAGAGGAGGCTTGTCTTTCACAAGTTTCCAGAGCAGGTGTGGAGGAGCCCGGTTCTGGAACCTTCTCTCTCCTTTCTCTCTTCCTCCTGCCCACCTTGGGAATCTGCCCTCCACTCCAGGGTCAGAACCATATGAGCAAAGAGGACAGTGAGGGACTTTCCTGGAAGACTGTGGGGGGACTCTGGGAATGTTTGGGAACCTGCCCTGGTGAGAGGTGAAAGAACAGCCAAGGGTTCCATTTTTGAGTATATTCTCTCTCTTTCCCTCCCCTTATCTTTCTGCAAAAGGATTTTAAGGTAACCAGTACCAATGAAACCCTTTCTTTCTCTCTTCCTTTCTCTTTCTCTCTCTCTCTCTTTCTAAAGATTTATTTATTTATACAGCATTCTGCCTGCATGTGTGTTTACACACCAGAATTGGGCACCAGATCTCACTATAGATGGTTGTGAGCCACCAAGTGGTTGCTGGCAATTGAACTCAAGACCTTTGGAAGAACAGCCAGTGCTCTTAACCTCTAGCCTTCTCTCTAGTCCCAATGGAACCCTTTCTTGTGCTCAACTTTCTTTTCCTCAGTCAACAAAGCAGACCACCACTACGTGTGAGACCTGGCCCTCCCTGAACTCCACCCCCCACCATGGAGTGTGTGTGCGCTCGTGTGCATGTGTGCGTGTGTGTGTGTGTGTGTGTGTGTGTGTGTATGCGTGCATGCCTGTGTGTAGTAGTTATAGCACCCACTCACCCTCAGCATGGGCCTGTGGCCCCACTGTGGATACCTCCTAGTGTCCATTCAACACCTCTCATCTCAAACCACGGGTCCCTCTGCTTGTCCCCTCAACACCCATGAGGGCATCATGACCTGGTCCGAAGGCTTGTAGGTTAGGGAGCCCTTGTGGGGTCAGGCCTGGGTCCCCCAACTCACTGGACCACAGAGAGGCCAGCAGCCCTGGGATAAGGGCTTGGTAGGGGAGGTTCAAATGCTTTATTTTATTTATTTATTTATTTATTTATTTGTTTATTTATTTATTTATTTATTTATTTATTTAGTCTATTTGTTCTTTTTATCAGATCCTGGCGGCGGCCACGGGAAAGGCACAGGAACGTGAGTTTGATTTCCCCAGAACCCACGTATAGAAGCTGAGCGTGGGAGTGTGTTCTTGCAATCCAAGGACTGGAGAGGCAACCACAGGAGGGTACCTGGGCTGGCTGTCCCTGGGTCAGGCAGCCTGTCAAGATGGTCAGAACTTGGCGACCTTACTCTCTGCGGCTATGACCTGGCCCTGACCCCACCTCCCTCCTCCCTGGTCCCCTCATCACACAGCGACCAGTGATGGAGTTTAACCGAGTCTACACATGACAGTCCATTGCTCAACATACCTCCCCACGGCCACCCACGGCAGCCCATGCCTTGAGAACAGACTTCTTCCAAGCCCCTCCCTAGCCGCACAAGAGGCTGCCCCGGCCACCTGCCCATGTGCCCGGCGCACACCTCCCCTTCCTGTCTTCTTGCCCCTCTTCCCACCAACTGGGCATGGCCCTGCCTCAGGTCCTTCGCACTAGCTGTACTGGCTCCTACTGGGGGACAGACAAACATCCACCTTTTCGACAACCCCTGTCTGACCGAATGTCACTGCTCTGATAGCCCCGACTTGAAAAACACAATCAGGGTCAGCAAGATGGTTCAGTGGGTGAAGGTGCTGTGGCCAAGCCTGATGACCTGAGCTCTGTTCCCAGAGCTCACAAGGTGACAGGAGAGACCTGACTCCCACACCTTGTCCTCTGATCTCTGTACAGAGTCTGAGGGATGGCGCCTGAGTTTGTCCTGGCCACCACCAGCTCGCACTCACCTGCCTCTGAAAAGGTGCACACCTGTAGACACATACAAAAGGTCACATGTGTGACCTTGGCCTAGGAGAGCTAGCCTGGCATCCTGGCGAGGATGGACCTGGGCTAGCTCTGGCCCCTTTCACCCACCCTCCACTCTGCTAGGAGTCGGGGGCCTCCGATGACACCAGGCTTTTCCCTGTGTCCTCAGCCTCTCACCAGTAGGCTGGGACCACCCAGACCCGGAGTGCTTTCCTGCTCCTAGGGTCAGACAGGCACTGACCCCCTGACCCTGGGCAACTCCCAGAGGCTTTTATAGACGTCGCTTGAGCCGTGATGCCCAGCTCTGTGGGGGAAGCTGCTGCAATTTCCACATGAAAGGCAACAGCAGGCTCCACCCAAGAGGCTTGCTCCTCTGTCCTGTGTGACCCAGAGCCTGGCAAAGGCCTCAGTGCTCAGGAGGTACCCAGCCTATGTTTGTTGAATGAACAAGAGAATGAAAGAATGAACAAATGAACAACTGTTGGGGACCTGCCTTGTACTAGGCAGAATCCCTAACAAACAGCACCGAGGGGTACCTAACAGACGTGTCTGCAATTGCCGCACGCAGTCCTCCAAGTCATTTCACAAGGTGGGGAAACTGAGGCTCAGCTGCCCAAGCTCATCAGCCTCTGCCCCCCCCCCCCCCGCCTATTGCCCCCTTGTTAGGCAAAACATAGGCCTGTCAGGTCACACGCTGTAATTCCTTGCTCTGAGGGTATTCAGACTTCACAGAGAAGCAGCGGCTGTGGTGGGTCCCACACCTCCTGGCTTGTCTCTCTAGCAGATCTCTGGCCCAGAGCCCGAGCCCAGCCCCTGCGCCCCGCCTGCCCCCGCAGACCCAGGAGCTGCCCCTCTCACCCACAGACATCCAGCGGAGTCGCTGTGCCCACCACACACACGGCGTGGGTGGGCTGCTCAGGGGCCACATGGATCAACGCGCCCTGGGCCATCCTTGGGCAGCAGGGAGCAGGAAGCCCCTGGGCTGTTCCTTTATAGCGCCAGGCGAGGGAGGCCATGAGTCAGCACCCTGACCCGGAGGCCCGGCCCCTCTCCACTCACCTTGGGAAAGAAGGGGAGGAAGGAGGTGGGAGGATGAGCAGAGGTGGTCTGGGTCTCCCGGGGGCTGCCTCATCGGGACCCCCTCTGCCGTACAGGTGGCATGCTGCTGGAACAGTGTGTGAAACTCGGGCTGTTACAGCCCCCTCCCCTATCTTGTCCTTGAAGCAGCTCTGAGGTCAGCACACATCATAACCACTTTCCAGAGGGAGAAACTAAGGCACAGGGAGGTTTCACAGCTGGCCAGGATTTGAGCAGAGGCGTCACCACAGGGTAGGGCCTTTGTTATTAGCAGCCTGTCCTGGTGACGCGATCTTCAGCTCGGCGGCTTCTGCCTGTAATACCAAGCATCCAAGGGCAGGTGACTGCCAGCCCATCTTATAGAAGGGAAAACTGGGACTCAGAGAGCGAAAAGACACTTATCCAGGGGACCATAGCAGGTCTTGGAGGGGAAACCAAGTTGCCTGCCCTGGAAGTAGGGTTTGCTGCATTCCCTGGCTGTCTGCACCTCTGAGGCCTCCCACGGAAGACCAGGAGGTGCAGGCGTGGGCTGCTGCTGCCCTGGGGGCTCTTATGAGAGCACTGCACCTCATGCCTGGTCAGTCTGCTAATGGGGTGAACTGTGGGTGGGTGGGGCGGGGTGGACAAGTCCTAACAGGGAGCACCCCAAGAAGGTGTGTCCCCGGAGCACAAGGTATCTGAGGGGCTGTAGAACTGGGGTTTTCATCTTCTCCTCTGGCTTCAAATCAAAGGCTTTGCCTGAGTGAGGAGCCGGCTGCAGGATTAGGCAGACCTGAGCACTCGGCCTCCCTCCAGCGTCCCCAGTGCTAGGTCCCAGGATGTGTGCATGGCGGAGAGATCACAGGCGGGGCCAAGAAAGGCTCCCAGGTCCAGCCAGCTCTATACAGGAGCTAGGACCAGGGCCACTTCCTGGCCTTCTAGACTCGCTTCGTGGACCATACTGGCCTCAAACTCACGAAGGTCCACCTGCCTCTGCTTCCCCCAGTGCTGGGGTTACAGGTGCGTGCCACCAAGCCCCGCTGGGTCCGTGTTTCTAATGGCAGGAGGGAGCCCTCCCGGAACCCAAGACGCAGCCTTCATCCTGGAGATGCAGAGAGTGAGCACAGAGAGGGTCTAGAGAGGCTCAGGGTCACACAGCAAGTCAGAGGGAGGGCTAGAATCTACCCGAAGTCTTTCCAGGAATCGTTTCTTCGATTTCTCGTTCTTTCCCTCTGCCTCTCCTTGTAAGTGGGGTGAACAGAGCAGATGGCCTTTGAGCAGGTGTGAGGGTGCTGACAGCATTGCACATAGTAGGGCAAGTACAGCTGTAGTATAACCCCCCTGCAGGAGTCAGTCTGTCCTTCCACCACATGGTCGCCGGGCTCTGTGGCAAACACCTTTGCCTGTTGAACGGTCTCCCCGGCGTGATTTTTGAGCTAGGTTCTCTCATTGGCCAGTACCCTCTAAGAATGCTCTGCTGCCTTCCAGCGAGTCCCAGAACATGTCTCTGCCTCCCGAGTGCTGGCATTCAAGCACCTCCCTCCACCCGAGGCCTTTCCTTCACACTATGAACCTGTATGAACCGGGTGTGCGAGCCTGTCCGCACACGGCTGGAAGTCTCAGGGCAATGTTGGTCATCGTCTACTTTATATTGACACTGGTCTGTCCTCGAACCCGGAGCTTGCTGATTGGCCAGCAAACTCTACATATCCTCCTGTCGCTGATTCCCCAGGGCTAGGGTCACAGGCCGGCTTTTAATGTGGGTGCTCAGAATCCAAACCCAGGTCCTCAGGCCCGGAAGGCAAGAGCTTTATTGATTGAAGTGTCACCCCAGACTTACCCACTGGTTATTGAGAAGTGCATGTATTTAAGAAGCGAAGTGTGCTGGGCAAGGGTTTTGTTGTTGTTAAATAATAATAATAATAATAATAATGGCATTATTATTATTATGTGATGGAGGCAGGCATGGAGGCCAAAGGACAAATTTGTGGACCTATTCTCCCCTCCCACCTCTACACACGTTCTGGGGATCAAACTCAGGTCGCCAGGCTTGGTCACAAGCTCTTTTTCTCACTGAGCTGTCTTGCTGACCCAAGGTAGCCATTGTCGGATGGTGGCTGCAATCCCTCTGTCTCCTCACACCGGGGGACTCTGTTGGCATCACAGTTTCTTTAGTCTGTCCCTTTTCATGGAGACTTAGATTTACAGCCACTCTTCCAAATACTGATTTGTTCATCTCCACCCCCGGAAGTGGGATCGCACAGTCAGGTGTTTGCTTTCCAGATGATTCTGTCAAACCACACTCGCCTGCCTGAGCCCACTCCCAGCCATCCCTGTTTGTTTGGTTTCTGTCTCCAAGGTGTTATTTGCCACTGCTGTCTCTGCTGATGAGACAGACAGATGCTTCAGACACTGGGCTTCCGGCATTAATCAGGGCAGGCCTGGCGACTTTGAAGATTCACCCCTGCTCTTTAGCTGTCAGGACGGAGATCACATCTCTCCAAAGACAACTTGAAGGCTGAGCCAGCAGCCTTCAGAAATAACATTGGCACCTGAGCTCGAACTCGGGGCGGGTTTTCAGACAAACACAGACACCTGGACTTTCCTCAGTCATGCGTGGGTGATCCTCTTCCTGGATGTATTTATTTACCTAGTGGGTTCACACCCAGCGGAAGGCTGTCGGGCAGGGCTGGGCTGCACAGTGGCCGGGTGTGGCTGCCACTGCCCCCCCCCCCCCCCCCCCCCCCCCCGGGGCCGGCCCCCCCCCCGGCCGGGGGGGCCCCCCCCCCCCCCCCCCCCCCCCAGCCCCGGCTCCTTGGCTGCTGCTGGCTCTTCAGAGCTTCCGCTCCGTCTCCCAGACCTCACCAAATGCCCTCATGGTTGAAGCAGGGTCACTTGGCATCTGCAGCTGTCAATCAAGGGTCCCGAAGGGTAGAACGAGCAAGCTTCTGGTAGTTACAGAACTCCTGAGTCGTGCGTGCTCACACCCTTGACTGCCGTCCTGCTCTCCCAGGGGCAGGAGCAGACTGTTTGTATACTGTCCTCCCATCTTCCAGGTCTCAAGGATCCAGGCCTTGGCTTCTTTGGGATGTAATTGTTACTGGACTTGGGGTCATAGTCTATGTGACCCAAGCAGCCAGGCTGAGCGCTGTCCCCACCCCACCCCGCCCCATCTCAAGAAGTCAATTAAAACAACCACATAAATAGCAAAACGCAAGAAAAAGAGATTTAGTCAATGTGGCTACATTGGGAAGGAGGCCAGTGAGAGGCAGTGACCCTCTCAAGTCCATCTTCGGGGTCCTAAAGTGAGACCGAAGCTTAAATAGAGGGCTGAAGGAGTTGGCTCAGTGGATAAGAGCGCTGGCTGCTCTTACAGAGGACCTGAGTTCAGTTCCCAGTCCCCACAGGCAGGCCACAATCATCTGTAACCCCAGCGGCAGGGGATCTAATGCCCCCTTTTGGCCACCTTGGGCACTGCACACAGACACACAAACACAGAAATAGAAATAAAATTGAAAGGATCTTTAATGTTTAAATAGAGGGCCAGGAATCCACACAGCTAAGCATGGCATGGCCAAGGCTTGGTCCTGCCCACAGCTATTCTGTGGTTGCCTGGGCTCCCATTCCTTGGTCTAGAAACTGCTTGGCACTGTGCGAAGTCTGTTCCTGGGAAACAAGTTATGCCTCTGGCTGCTGCCAGCTTATAGGTTTTTCCTCCCATCATCATGAGATACCCGGGGTGGGGAAGCGGGGGAGGGGCCGGGGGTGGATTCCAGTGTTGGGGTAGTTCACTGTTTCAATAATCTGATAGTCATATTCAGGGACGTAAGTGCCTCTTTAATTTTTTTTTTTTTTTTTCTGGCAGGCCAGTTACATGTTGATGGCTGATATGCAGTCCCCGAGTGCAGAGAACATTCCAGGGCGATTGGCTGTGTCCTGAGCTCCAGGTGACCCTCTCAGCTGCCGGAAAGGTTTGACTGTAACAACACCCAGCGAGAATCCAGCTGCTGCTCAGATCTGATGGTGGAGATGGAGCAGCAAGGCTTCTTACCTTAAAGGGTAATTATTCTCAAAGGGAGATTATTCTGGGCTGGGCATGGTGGTGCACACCTTTAATCCCAGCGCTTGAAAGGCAGAGGCAGGCAGATGTCTGTGAGTTCAAAGTCAGCCTGGTCTACAGAGAGAGTTTGAGGACAGCCAGGGCTATCCAGAGAAACCCTGTCTCAAAAAAAAAAAAGAGACAAATTTATAAATCAAGGTATCTTTCAAATATGCTGGCGGTGGGAACATAGGGTGGCCGGTTACAGAAGAGGGGGAGCTCTGCCACAGGCCTCAGATGCTGTCCCACGGCATTCTGAGTGCTGCGCTGGTGGAAGCTGGTGGTTTGCTAAGTCACCTCCCCAAAGACTTCGGCAACGGTCATGTAGGTGGGTCACATCAGACGGTAGCGGATGAGGAGTGCCGCCCTGGGCAATAAAGGTAGCCCCAAAAGAATTTTGCTCCAGACGCGTTACTCCAGGGGAACTGACACGCTCTAGCCTCCACGGACACTCGCAGCTGTGTGGTGTGTGTAAGCTCACGCAGGCACACTGTGCCGGCTGGTTTTAGGTCAACTTGACACGACATAGAGGTGTCTGAAAGGAGGCAGCCTCAGTTGAGAAACTGCCTCCATACGATCAAGCTGTGGGGAATGTTTTAAGTCAGTGATTGGTGGGGAGGGCCCAGCCCATTGTGGGGGGTGTCATGCCAGGGGGTGGGGTGGAGTCCTGGCTTCTATGAGAAAGCAAGCCAGCAAGCAGCACCCCTCTATGGCCTCTGCATCAGCTCCTGCCTCCAGCTTCCTCCCCCGTTTGAGTTCCTGTCCTGACTTCTTTCACTGGTGCACAGCGAGTGA